CCTCTCCTGGCCAAAACATCAAAGCTTACAGAGTCTAGGCAGATAACAAAAGTGGTTGATATGTGCTAGGTGTTAGAAAGCCAAACAGTGTGAGGAAGTTGACAGAAAGCATCTTTCACCTGTTGGCTTGGACCTGAGGCTATCATGGGGAGTGGGGAGTGACTGCATAGTCACCATTCAATATAGTAGCTTCTGATTTCAAACGTCAGAAATCAAATTCTTATGGGAAATCTCAGTGATTGCAAGTAATAGCAACTGAATCCAAATTTATTTATATCTCTTGTGTCTGATAAAAACCAAATTTAAATTTATTTCAGCCATCAAAGCTGATCAAACTTCAACTTTCCAGCTGGCAATCTTTTCCCAATTCATTGTCAGAAACTGATTCTGAGTGAATTTAATGCAGTGAACCACTACTCAGTAGACATACCCCAGTTTACCTACGGTTTTTATGAATATTTTCTAAATAAAGGTGATAGACAGACTGACCCAATCAGTTGTCAGTCTCCTGTCAGGTCAAAGTAGTTTTAAGACCTGTCTTTATCATCTATCATGCCAATGTATATGACGTAGTTAGATTATCATAATATATAAACATTTGTTTCTTAACATAGATATGATATAAAAACAGCTGAAAACCATCCTGGCCCTTTCAAAGTTGTATAGATGCTGCTGTTGGGGTCATATGGAGATCCTACTTCGCCAACTTGCTTTGTACAGGATCAGTCCTGAGCACTGAGCATGTGATAATCATGAAATTTAAGGGACTCTTACATATCCTCCCCATCACCAAGCTTTTTATTTTTTATATAAACAATATTCATGTATGCATATATGTGCACAGATGAGTGTGCACATGTGGATAGTGTGTACCTGTGGGTATGCACACATGCGTATGGAGGCCATGGATCAATATCAAGTGTCTTCCTCAGTGGCTTTACAGGCTGGCCAGTAAGCTTCAGGGATCTACCTGTCTCTTCCCTGACCCCCGGAACTAGGGTTACAGGAGTGTGCCAGCACTCCGGGCTTTTATGTGGATGCTGGGAATCCAAACTCAGGTCCTCAGGTTTGTAGGCAGTCTACCATTTGAGCCCTTTCCCTAGTCCCCCATAACAATTCTTCATATCTGAATTTCTATAATTTAGAGACTAGTCATTTGCAGTTATTATATTAGTCTCAGACTGTATGACAAGTACTATGCAAAATGGTGAGGAAATAAAGACAATGAAATTGTATCCTCTGCTTTGGAGAAGCTGCTGTCTAGCGTGAAAGGGAGGGACCTGAAAACGATCACAACACAGTGAGACACATGAACCTTGGAAGCAGTTGCTGGGAGGGAGAAAAGAAGGTTTCCGCTCTACCCAACTGCTTCCCCTGGCTTCTCAGTTACTTTTCTTATATGATCCAGGCCCACTTACCCAGGGATGGCGTCATTCACAGTGCGCTGGGCCCTCCCAAATCAATTAGCAATTAAGAAAATGCCTCACAGACAAGGCTAGAGGACCGTCTATTGGAGGAAATTTCTCGATTAAGGTTCCTCCTTCCCATGTGTGTCAAGTTGACAACTGAAGCTGTTCAACAATATAAAGGTTGAAAAGAATTTTAAAATTTATTCATATATTATTTTCTATAAAGAACAAGTATTTTAATTATCAAAAATGTTAAGGTAATAGGGAACATTCACTCAGAAGTTCTATAATATTTTTAGTTTAAATTTTATTTGCCTTACCTCTAGAAAACTTGGCAAAATTATAAGGAAGTAGATGCAAACTTTGTTTTCAAATTGCTACAGTTTTTCTTATTTTGCCATACTTAAGCAATTTAGCAACTTGATAGGACTTTTAGAATCTGTTTTCAGATTAGAAAAATTGAGTGGGTTCTTTGGTTTGCTAAAGCTCAGGATAGGACCATTGGTTGATTTGGATTGCTTCCAGGACACAACTAAATAATAAATAATATTAAAGGATAGTACTTAGATAGTTCATGGTGTTTTGTTTCTAATCAGGAGCTAATGTTTAGTCTCTAGGACTGTTACTCATGTATTCTTTGTTTCACTGAGATAGAGTCTCCCTGTGTTCCTAGTCATGAACTCCTGAGCCCAAGTCTTAGCATCCTGCCCAGTAGCTGACTGAAAGCACGTGCCACTCAACACCTGACTTGTCATACATCCTTAAAGAATTCCTTTTTCTTTGATGAAAGGTTTTTTTTTTATTGACCACTTCCTATTGAACTGTCAAAGTGATAGTCTGAGGTTGATAGTAATCTCCATTTTATAGATAAGGGAATTAAAACAGAAAACTTGATTAACCATGTACTCTAGTAACTGACAGAACTGGTCTCAGACTCTCACCTCGCTGATGCAGAAGCTGCTTGCCACTTAGCTGTGTCTTGCTTCCTTTTCTTAAGAACTGCCCTGTGAAAGGGAGACATAACAGTTGAATGACTTCTGGAGGAGAGCAGAATATAATAACTGAGATCAGGATTGTCATGGGAAGTCTGGGGTCTGTGTCACGGAAGAAAGAATGAAGAATGGAAGAGCCTCTGGCCAGTAGGAGAGTTTTGCAACAGGGTTATGAGTTCGCTTCCAATCCCTCCTGACTCCTTATCCTCTGCACACACACACACACACACAGAGAGAGAGAGAGAGAGAGAGAGAGAGAGAGAGAGAGAGAGAGGAGTTACAGGGCCACTGAGATGATCAGGAAGTGGAGGGTGATGCTAAGCAGAAGTCAGAGCAAAGGCTAACTGAGAGAGAATTGAATGGAAAGAGCTACTAAAGTATAAAGTGACCCTAAAATATCCCTGACAGTTAGGGGCCCTGAGAGAGCTGGTAGCTGCTCTCTTTGAAAAGAATCCTGGCTGGAGAGAATTCAGAAAGAATACAAACTGGGGATTCATTTACATCTCCATCCGCTTAGTTGGAAAATCTCTTGATGGTCAGTCTACAGTGTAGTCTGACCTGGATTTGGTATATTTAATACATTCTTTTCTTGATTGGGTATAGTCACAGTTGTTGCCACAAACGGAAAAGTTTGGTAGGCATGTGGTGTAGACACACAAATCTACAACAACATTGAAAAATGCCTGGTCTGAGGGCAACTTTACGAAGGTATTTGTTCTTGGGTTATATAAAACATTACTCATCTTTGTTTAGTTTTTATTTATTTTCTGATGCATCAGTCAGTACGTTGAACTGATTGTAATAAACTTCCCCATGCAGGCAAGGAGATTGGATTACTGAGTATGTGTTTTAAAAAAAATTGTGTAAAATCTGCTAAGAGCCAAGCCACTCAGCTACTTGTAGATGATAATAAGTACATGATTAATGTGGAGAGAAAGATTTTTATTTGAAACTCTGAAGAAAAAAAGCATGCTAAATTTTAAATATGTATGAGTTGGTGAGTCTTTAAATACCTAATAAATGCTTAATATTTTAAAGTATTTTTGAAGACATTTTAAAAATAAATTAAAATTCATGTGTTTATCACCTAGAATTACATATTCTTTGAATAAATATAAAGAATGAGCATTATAAATTAAAAATGAAATTCTATTTAATATATTACTCAATCCTATTCTCCCCTCTTTCTAACAATCACTCTATCATGAATTAAATCTCCTCCCAATCTTTTTTTTAATATTTTATATATCTTAAGCATATTAATGATATTGCACTTCTTTTTATGTGCCTGTTGACTATTAGTATGTCATCTTTGAAAAAGTATTTGAATTTTTGCCCACTGTGTGGAGAGAGTAATTTACCTTTTTGTTTGAGTTAATAGTATTCTTGGTGCTAGAGAGATGGCTCAGTGGTTAAGAGCACTTGTTGCTCTTGCAGAGAATCCAGGTTCGGTTCCCAGCATCCATATGGAGCCTAACAGTGTAACTCCAGTACCAGGGGACCCAACGCCCTCTTCAGGCCTCCATAGGTACTCCACTCATGTGGTGCACTTACATCCATGCAGACAAAATACTCATATGCATAATTTTTTTGTGATTTTTATGTGTATGAGTGTATTGCCTTGCATAAATATAAGGGCACCCATGTGGAGGCCAGAAGAGGGCATCAGATCCCTGGAACTGGATTTACAACAGTTGGGAACCACCATGTTGGTACTGGGAACTGAACCTGGGTCCTCTGCAAGAACAACCAGTGCTCATAACCAGTCCCACATAAATTTTTGAAGTGTTATTATATATTATGTCATAATCCCCATATCGGATATATGATTTGTAGTTTTTCTTCCATTCTTTTAGATTATCTTTTCACTTAATTGCTATGAGCTTGTGAACTGTAACAAAATGCTTCTGGGTATTCATGTTTCTGAAAATTTTTGATTTCCAATATTGTCTCAATATTATATCCTGTTCAGATAATAAACCTGAGCACACTGCACAGTGCCCTCTCACATAGTATTCCATTCATCCGATGCTACTGAGTTGTTCACAAAGGTGCAGGCTTCTGTTGGTCATCTCCATGAGGCTCTCCAACAGTGAAGAAAATTGAGTTGTTTAATCTAGTAATAGAAAGCTATAAAATAGCATTCTGATACAGTTACACACCATTTAATGGCATTTAGGCCAACAGTGGACCACATATATAAGTTACTTAAAATTATAATGGAGCAAAAATTTGTTGTGTAGGATTTTCACTATGCCTTTCCTTTGTTTTGGTATGTTTAGATATATAAATCCTTACTGGCATTTTACACATGCCTGCAGGATTCAAGGCAATAACAGACTCTATAAGTTTATATCCTAGCATTGTAGTTAGACTCTCCCATTGAGGTTTGCCGGCATTCACTGGATGACTGTCACTGTGACAAAATTACCTAACAAACCATTCCTCAGACTATACTCCCATTGTTAAGTGACACTTAAGTATATTCTCATGATACTGACATTTGCATTTAAAAGCGCTGGGATGCCTGTCTAACCTGACCCCTTCCCTCCTCTCCTCTCCTTTTGTTTTCATCCCTCCCCTCCCATTTCTCCTTCAGATTGAAAATGGCTCAGGCATCAGTCAGCAAGCTGACATCAGAGAAGAAAGTGGAGACAAAGAAAATCAACCCTACTGCCAGTCTGGTGAGCCATGTTTTTCAGCATAACTTTCACATTTTTCATTGTAACTGGGGTGCAGAAAAGTGTATGTGAATCTAAAGGATAAAACTCAGGGAACAAATGGAATGTTGACATCTTTAAACCCATCCTAACAGGATGTCATTTAAAAACAAAAGTAGGAATCAGTTGTGGTAGCTCATGTCCTTAACCCCAGCTTTCAAGAGGCAGAGGCAAAGGGATCTCCGTGAGTTCATGTCCAGTCCAGGTTGCATAAGGAGTTCCAGGCCAGTCAGAGCTATGTAGTGAGATCCTGTCTCAAAACAAAGGAGGATTGAAAGGCCAAAGCATGATTTCATGTTTCCCCTGTTAACTCAACAGAGACCACTTCTGATTAACCAAATCCATCCCTACTCCACCCACACCATGATCCCTCTTATCTCAAGGTCCTTTTCTCCTGTGTGTGTTCACCATCATCTGTTCTGTTCATGTGTGTTCACTATCATGCATTCTATTTTCTCATTTAAAGGAGAAGAAATGATGTTCCCTGTGGGTTGCTAAGAAAGTTGAAATGCCTGCCTAATGTCATTTGGCAAATGGATGACAAAAACCAGGACCAGACTGGGGGTTCCTTCATAGCTCTTCTTGTGCCAGAAACCAAAAGTGTACTCAGTCTTTCTAAATCTGGGAGAAAGTTTTCCTCCAGTGTTCAGTAGAGATCACACTGATTCTCCACCTATGTTACAGATTGTCAGTTACTTTTCCTGTTGCTATGATAAAAATTCCCTAACAAAAGCAACTTAAATGAAAAGAAAAGATTTATTTTGGCTCAGAGTTTGAGGCCATCATGGTGGGGAAGTCACAGAAACAGGGGCTTGAGGCAGCTGGTCACATTATATCCACAGTCAGGAAACAGAGCCATGAATGGTGCTCGGCTCACTGTCTTCTTTTTATACAGTGCAGCATCCCATCCCAGGGAATGGTGCCACCCACAGTGGGCAGGTCTTCCCATTTCAGTTAACCTACTTGAGATAACCTGTCAGAGGCATGCTCAGAGGTTAAGTAATCCCTCACAGGTTGCCTGAAGGCTTATCTCATAGATGACTTCATATCCTGTCAAGTTGGCAGTTAACACAGGCAGTAATAGGAGTTGGTACATGGTTAGGTGCCTTAGTGAAGGAGACTGCCTACTTTCAACCTCAGCTTTGTCATAAGATCTTAGTAAGGTTACTTTGCTTCTTTATCTTCAAGGAGAAGAGAGCAGTTGTATTACATTTAATTTAGGTTTATTTTAAGGAAACAAGGGAAAGGCATGTGAAATCCTGGTTCTATAATAGAAGTTCAGTAAATGCAAGGTACTTATCTGTGTGCCAGCCGCTTTGGACCCTGTAATTAGGAACAGCAGCAGTGGTAAGACTATCCTTCTGCATACTCTGTGTCCAGTTGATGATACATTCAATACACTCATCTGTATGATTTTCAGGGGTGGCAGTCTCAACCCTGATTTTTATCTCCGTCCTCCTTCAGCTCCTACTCTTTTCCCCAAGTGCGTTATTTGGTCCTCCTTCCTGACTTTTACAGCCAAACCTGTTCCCCAGGAACAGAGAAAATGGAGTTAGCTATGTAGACAGAAAGGAAACAGTGAGCTGACTATGACACCTCTTACAGGCTGACCTCCTTGGTGGGTGGGCAAGTTCCCTCTTATAATCCTCAGCTTGTTTTGTTTTTATATGTTTGGAAATTGGGAAGGAGCTTGTAAACTGATTCCCAATTCAACTGTTCAGGTCAGAGATGGAATTCAAACATAGGAGAGTTGTATAATATCATTGATTTTGTTTATATCTCACACAATTTAGTAATTCACTGCAGAATGCTATCTTGAAGACCTCCAGCATCTGGTAGTCAGGTCTCAAAGTCTGTCTGTATCTACATTTCTGAAGGAGTGCATGATCCCCTTTTCCTTTCTGTTGTCTGCCCCAGGAGCAGACACACCCTCTCTATCATGCCTAACATTTACTTCTTCAGCAACAGAAGGAACAAGGGCCCATCTTGCTAATCTGCGTGCTCTTGCCTGTGTTCACATCTTCCCATCACACGTCCATGCCCGTCCCCTTTAGAAGACTGTCCTGGAGGAGGCACAAGGAGAACAGAGCAGAATGTCAGTGGCAGAATGGTCATGTCTCCTGTTCCACACAGATGTGATCTGCTCATCTTCCATTTTGAAAGGCCTCTGTTCAGGTCCTATATGGTGCTTACTGGCAGATGCATTCAACTTAGAAAAAGGAACTCTATTCATATCTTGATTTCCTCAAAACTTTTTCTTGATAATACTCTAATGCCAGCAGAGGGCATAGGATGGGGCTGGGAGGAGTCAATAAGCATCTCTACAAAATGTGGATCTTTGCTACAGAGGAGAGAGCAGAGCAGAGCAATCTGGCCTGATGAGCTACATAATTGTTCTAGATGGATGTAATTGTTGTATTGATTGGCTGTTCACCTTTTGTTTAACTTTTTGGTGGGCGGTAAGATGGTAGGTTGGTAAGAGCAGATAACTGGGGAGGGGTGGAGTCTGAAGAAAAAAACTAGACTTTCCATTCTAGGTTACTTGTATTCCAGACCAAAACTCAAGAAATTTATCACTGGGCATGGTGGCTCAAGCCTTTAATCCCAGTACTTGGGAGGCAGAGGCAAGTGGATCTCTGTGAGTTCAATGCCAGCCTGGTCTACATAGTGAGTTCCAGGCTAGCTGGGGCTACATAGAGACCCTGTCTCAAAAAGACCAAAAAAAAAAAAAGAAAGAAAGAAAGAAAGAGAGAAAAAGAAATCAAAAATTGAAAAGTAAAAACCAAAAATTATAGAAATTATAATGAATCTACTTTTTTCCTTCAACAACAGAAAGAAAGACTGCGTCAGAAGGAAGCCAGTGTGGCTACCAACTAAGATGGAAACAAGGAAATGACTGGGGCGAGATGAGGCATGTTGTATGCTCCTTCAGGAGGCCAGTGCACAGGACGTTCTTGAGAGATTTGTTACTGAACATTTGCTTTGTTCCTCTCCTCCTGAGATCGTCTGCAGAGAGCCTCCTGTGCCTTCTTTGAGAAGTCATATTAATCCACAGGAATAATTAAAAGCTATGTATGGGAACATTGCAGGAATATTTGATAACTATTTCTTATAGAAGTCCAAATTCCACTCTGTAATAAAACCAGAAGACATACTAAATATTTTTCACATTTTATTTAAAGATGAGACTGTATAGCATATACCCTTATTACAGAAGAAGTGGTATATCATTTATGGTGACGGCCTTGCAGGAACTCAAGCCTTGTTCTGTACACACTGTAGCATTAAAGTGTTGGTCTTAATTTGATCCTGTTGTACCAATATCTTACAGAATTCTCACCAAAAATGTTGAAACTTATCAGAACTGTTTTTGAAGAGGTTTAACACTGTGTTTCTCCCAAAGTAGGAAAATGATTTTGTTGTTGTTATTGTTGTTGTTGATAATGATGATGGTGATGGTGATGATGATAGTGATAATGATGATGATATAATGAAGAGAAAATGGAATTGTACATGGGTGGAGAGAAGGAACAATAGTCATAACCTCATCCTGGGGAATAAGTTATGATCCTGGGAATCAGCGTCAGCTAGTGAGCTAGGCTCAGTCTTTGATTTTATGTCAGTTCACATGGATTCTTGGCCAGCAAAGATTCTTACAAACCTCTAAAAGATGCAGGTCAGGGATAGACTGGGTCCAGAAAGGAGAGCAAATGCTCCAAGCTGGTTATTTTTTTTTAATTTTTTGAGACAAGTTCTCTATATAGTCCTGGTTGACCTGGTACTCGCTATGTGGACCAGGCTGGCCTTGAACTCAAAGAGATCTGCCTGGCTCTGCCTCTTAAGTGCTGGGATAAAAGGTGTGCACCTTTTTATCATGACCTTGAATGACAAGTAGGGTAGGCCAGGGGTCCTTTGATGTCCAAAAACTTATTAACAGAAAAAAAATTTTTATAGCAAAATGAAAGAAAGGTGGTTACATTAATATTAACCTTTGAGTAGAATTTGGGGGCCAGGTTGTTTTTTCTAACCCTGGCCCTTGTATCAGAGAAAAGCCACCTTTTCCTCTCTCTCAATTTTCCCCCTAAGCCACCACTCCTTGAGTCTATCTACTACAAGAAGAAGAAAGAGATCTGAGGCTGAACTAAGAATAGTATTGAAAGCCATTGTTTTTAAGACTTGATGGAATAAAAACTCAAGCTTTCTTGTTGGTGGAGGCTATCTAGAGATGAACTCAAATTTTACATCTTGCGTCAGCAACTTTCTAGAACCTCTGAACCAAGAACCTTAGGTACTTGCCAGATACCTAAGAGTCTTTCCAGAATCTGCCTGTCAGTCACCAGCCCCTTCAGGGACAGCCCTAATAATAGATGCAAGCTAGTGAAAGCAGTACTGTAATTTAGTGCAAGCTTTGAGAAACAAGAGTGCATAGTTAGCATCTAGTAAGTCATAGACGCTGTATTTATGCAGATATCATCTTTTCTAATGGCTCAAGAGGAAGAATATGATCACATGGTTATTCAAAGTGTAAGAATGGGACAAAACAAACAAGTACATAAGGAACTTAACAGGCTTGAGGTTGCTATGAGCAAGACGCTTTTCCCATTATTTTCTTATGCAGTTTTTCTTCATTCTCACTTTAGCTATAAAGCAAACCAAGGGAATTCATAGGAGGGAAAATTCCACTTGCAGCTGGCCTCTTCCCCATGGTGTCCTTGTTAGTCTTGTGGTACAAAAGACAGAAGCCAATTTTATTCATGCCAGAAGGATCACCTCTGCTTCCTGTGGGAGGTCTGCACAAGCCCAGTTCCTGATGGATCCTGTGGAGGGAATGGGAGATAGGAGATGGCTTTCACTGATGCTGTTGCTACTTTAGGTCCCTAAGTAAGATACTCATGAGTCATGACAGGTAGTACTGTCTCTGTGCCTTTCAGAAACACAGCAGATCCTGCATGCTGTCAGGATCCAGTCCATAGCATGAGCAGTCTTTCTTTTCTGACATCCTAATTCTATTTACCTTCCCTCTGAAAAAAAGAAAAGAAGGCCGGGTGTGGTGGCACACACCTTTAGTCCCAGCACTTGGGAGGCAGAGGCAGGCAGATATTTGTGAGTTCAAGTCCAGACTGGTCTACATAGTAAGTTTAGGTCAGCTGGGACTACAGGGAGACCCTGTCTCAAAAAGACAAAAAAAAAAAAGAAAAATTCACTTGAGGAGGGAGGGTTGGAGAGATGGCTTAGCAGTTAAGAGAGCATACTGCTCTTACAGAAGACCGAAGTTCAGTTCCCAGCACCTACATCAGGTGGCTCACAGCCGCCTCTTACTCCAGCACCAGTGTCCAATGTCCTCTTCTGTCCTCCATGAGCACCTGCATGAGCACCTGCACTCACATGTACAGACACACACACACATATGCACATAATTAAAGAATAAAACTAAATCTTAAAAAAAGAAACAGTTTGGGGGTGTGATGCAGCAAGATGAATGAAGAAATCTGAAATTTTCACTTTTGCATAAATATCTCATTTTATAAATTAGTTTAAATTGTGTTAAAAATCAAGAGAAATAAGTATCTCTTTTGTTTGACCTTCATTTTCCTTTGATTTTTGCCTGTTCTGATAGAAAAAAAAATACCAAAAGGTGAAGCATATACTTTAGGTAATTTGATAATCTACAAATTAGTTTAATTATCAAATCATAAAAACATGGGCATGCCATGAAATCCAGTGTGGGATAGCATGTTAGCTAAGCACAGATTAAATTGAACAGCTGTGGTGGCTGATGGGCATGAACAAGGGTGGCCTACTGTCCATGTGAGATTACAGTGTCCACCACACCATTTTAGTGTGGTTTGGAAAGAGTCTAGGATTGTCTTGGAAGTGTTATTCTTTAAAAAAAAAAAAAAAAAAAAAAAAAAAAAACACGTAGAAAAAAAGGCCTGATGTGCTAGAGTCAGATATGTATATGTCCCTCCTCTGGGTTCTAAGAGGTGTTTATAAAAGAACACCAGAAGACTGTGAATGCCATAAGGGATAGCTTAGCTATTTCAGCTTGAGAAACCCAACAGCTGGAATAGAGTGGACTAGAAAAAGAAATGAGTTCTCATCCATGTCAACTACTTTGTCTAGATAAGGAAATCTGCAATGCAGGTGAAATAAGTTTCTGCCCAAACTGATAGGATTTGAAAAAAAAAAAAAAGTTAATTTTTAGCCTTTACAAAAGGCAAATAACATTAGAAATGCTTTCATTTTCCAGCTGTAGAGAGAACCCAACTGCTTGGAAGCTTTGACTGATGCAGATTGACTTAAAGCAAAGTACACCCAGACACTCAGCTCAACAGCTCTTCCAGCTTTCAGACTTATACAAGTGTTCCTAATGCCAGTAGCAATTAAATCCAGGCATAACCAGGCTCAGTTGCACAGCTGTATGTGACCCAGAGGCACGTTTTGTGTCATTTCTGCTTCCCTGTCAGCTGTTGACACCTTGTTAGACGCACTCATTAGTTTCACAATCCTTCATTTCCCTCCTCAAGGAACGGGCAATCTACCAAATTCTCTCAAGAGCAACACTTTGCTGGGAAGTAGTGAATTTCAGAGTTTCAGAATGCTAAGGCCAGTTCAGGAGCCTTATTTGTTAATCAAGACTCTTTACCAATAATGTTATATCACATTTGGAAAATTTGTATAGAGAACGATTTACTTGGAAACACGGAGACATTAAATGGCAGCTAGCTGACTAGATCTCTTAAGCCATTATGAAGTTTCTACTAAGCAAAAGATTAGAAAGGCAAATGAAGCCTTAACGCTAGCCTCAAGTGGAACTCACTGGCCTCCCTTTCTCCCTCTATCTGTGCAGTCTATCTCCAAACTACCCTAGTGCTAACCAGTGCCATCCTGAAGGTAGAGGGAAGACCCTGCAGTCTATAGTACACATGAACTTCATACTATATTGCATATTGTATCTATCAAGTACTCGATCTGGAGAAGACTGACTAAACCTCAATTTTTATGTAAAAGAAGTAAATCAAGCCATCCATTCTACAAATTACATCTCATAAAATTTTCTGTTTTTCACTCAAGTATACATGGAATCACCTAGAAGCTGATTCAGCTGCCCCCATGGTTCCATGGTGTTTTTCATGGTTTCTCTGAAACTTGATAGCACTGGAATACCATAACATAAATTAATCAGTAGAATCAGACAGAAATGAACATCTCAAGAATTTGGCCTAGAATAAGCAACCTCTATCACATTTGGGCTACCACCTAGGCTAAATATTGCCTTCAGTTTTACCTGTGCAAACACTGAAGGTTTTCCCACCTCTGAAGCTGTAAGAATGTCTTAAAGGAGAATGGATACGCATCCCCATGTATAGTATGAGTTTCAGTGCATTTTATATCAAGTAAAAAAAAATGATTCCAAACATGCATTAGCAGTGGTTTGCCAAAGTCATACCCGCTTTGCTTCATAGTTCTCTTCCAGAGCTTGCTTTGGGTTTCATCTTATGAAAAAAGCACATCTTTGATGGCTCATATGAGTTAGAGTTCCAGGTCTACCATTGTAAAATGAAAGACTATCCCTGTAGATCACTGAGTACACAGAGAATTACTCTCTGCCTCCCCATAACATGGCTGATAGATGTTCAAAAATGATGAACTCTGGGAATCCTGAGATGGATTTTGAATTCTGGTTTATTTCTAGGAGGCCTGTGAAAAGGAGTTTACAGCATGCAAATATTGTACTGCTCTTCCAATGAGGGACCAAAAAGCATTTAGAATACTTATAGTGCAGATATGTTCTGTGAAATATAATTACCTATTTTCCTACTTAACAGCTATCTCTAGGTCTAATCTAGTTTTCTCATGTCTGACCATCAAGGCATGAAGAAGTTACTCTCAGTCTTGCTAGTGGTTTTCTATAAACCGTGGATGGCATCCATTTCTATTGGTGAGGAGGCAAGTCTAAATAGTAATTCTCTCTGTAGTGATTCAATTAGGATTTGAGTAGTCTACCAAAGGCACAGGATCTCCCAAAATCATTAACCTTATAACTTCATTTTTAAAACTTCTCAGGACACAAAGAATGAGCCCCTCTATGTAGCCCACATCTATAGGCTAAATGTGTAATCTTTGAGGAATGTGTGTACTAAAGGAAAAAAGTCCGTTTAATAAAATAATCTAAGAGAGTCCCCAAAAGGTAGAAACTACAAATTAGGCACTGGATAATTGTTAAGAACCTTCAGCATGGCATTGATTTATCACAGTTTTTTCCAGTCACTGAGTTATAATCCAGACTAGTGTGGGAAGTGGTTTCTTTGGACTTCGATTTGGGGATCGTGCTTTGGCCTGGAAAGTAAGCATTGGCCTGCATGTCTAGAAGCTCACTGAAATCAGTTAGCAACCTAATATGAGTCAGATGCGAAGAAATGCAAGTTCCTTCAGGTCCTTTATGGTTTGATCTGGTTTAATTATCTTAACAACACTCAGGACCTCATGATCCTTCGGCTTCCTGAAATCTCAAACAATATGGGATGATTAGGGAGAAACAGAAGAGGAGAGAAGAAAATTTGAACAAGTCCAGTGCAGTGTTTTGCTCATATCATGCATTTTGTCAGGGAACTGGTGACTTTTGCCATGATAGCACTGTGGGCAGCTTTTTAATGGAAATTCAGGTCATTTGTATTCGGTAAACAGGACTGACCCCATCGGTGACAGACTTTGTACCGGAAAAGCAAGTACCCCGATGAAACTGGCCTGCACTTAGTTTAATAACTCTACCAGTCTCTGATTTTGTTGTATGTTCACTTGCTCGTGGACCTTTCTGTTTTCTCTGCTTCTCCCAAAGCCGTTTTGGCACCAGGCCTCATTTCACTTTCCTCGTCTCTGTACTTTGGCCTCCTATTCCTTCACTGCCCACAGCTCTTCTCTCCTAATGGGACCTTTTCTGCTCCTCTTGGTCCCAGCCATTCTCCACCTCCACATCACAGGATGGCGAATGTCCGCAGTCCCTCTGCTCCATGCACAGTGTTTGGACAGAGCACCACTGTCACCGAGAAGGAAGCCTGCATGAGGCATGATGCTGCAACCGCCTCTTGTTAATGCCAGTGTCACCTCATCACTTAGGCAGAGGGGAAAATCCATAAAAGAGACAGAAAACACATTTCGTTTTCATTTTATTTTACTTTATTTTAAGAAGGCTGGGTGTTTGAGTTCTCAGTTTCTCATAGATTTTTAAACTATCTAAATATAGTAAGTTCTTTTGATAAATTGATAAATCACAACAGTCACCAGCTGTGACAGGCTGCATTTCAGATTCTCAGCCTCCGTGTTGCCTCACAGTTGACTTGTGTGTGAACATTTGGAATCGTCTGACTTCTTATTCCCCTTCTTACTGCTGCTCATGGTTCAAGCATCTGCCCCAATCTAAATCAGGATGTTGACATTTTGTGGTTATTTTCAGATCAACAGTAACTGTTACACTCTTAAAAGCACTTACAGAAAGTGTAAGCATGTCCTAAGTAGTCTACTATTTGACATGGTAAAATTCTCAGCTTTTCTGTTTAGCTACTATACCAATCTGTAGGTGTAACTTTAAAGAATTTAAAGCAATACAATAAAGACAGGCACTTTGAAGACATGAAACCATATGTTACATGCTCTTGGATTCAGGTATTTTCCCTTTAAATTAAAAAATGTAGTTCTAATTTGAATATTTAATTTTGTCAAGCTGAGAAATGCTCATGAGTTGAATTTGTAAATGTACTTTACAATGAATTGACATATTTATTTTTAAAAAAGAAAAGGTGAAGGAACCAATATCGACTTGTACATAATAAAAATATGTGTGTATATATTTTTTTTCTTGATACCACTTGATCATCATATCAAGGGTATTTTTGTACATAATATATATTGGTTAGAAATATTTAGATTGTCTATTCAAAGAAATTCTATCTGTGTGATAGATTATATTTATCCTAATCTATTGATACCTCTGTTAATTTGTTTTAAGAGATAGAACTCTATTTTTTTGGAATTTACAGGGAATTGTATTCATGGCTTCCAATTGTAAATATGCTAAGGGTATTTTAATAAATCTTGGTTTCAAGTCCATCTGTC